CAAGGTTTTCATGGAGACAAGCAGCCAGGCTGTTATTGAGAGTGTGTCAGTGAAAACTCTAATTAATTAATGTGGCACATTTCCCTCCTTTTAAAGGAGATTGGCTTAAATTCTGACTTCAGTCAAATATAATCACACACACAAGCTTCACAGAGGATTACCACATCTAAACCAACCCACAACAGCTTTGCTGTGCAGTTTTAACCACCAGCGAGGACGTCCATTTTCACGCTCCACCAAGGAAATAGCAGTCATGATGTCAGCTCTGCTAAGCCTCCAGTTCTGGCCACAGAGGTTTAAGTATTCTCGAAGAGTTTAGGGAAACAGTTCCTCCCTTATCTTAGATTCAGGAAAGCAGCCCTCATGTTATCTGATTTATTTATTTACATTTCCTTTTAAAGATTTCATTCCAACAGAGATAAAAACAGGTTGCTCAACCCAGTGCTGGTAAGGGCAAAGCTTTCTGTTCAGTTCCTCTTTGAGGCGCATCTCATCTGTGCCCGCTGGGCTAGAGATGGCGGCAGCAAGGAGAGGCTAGGGCTCCCTTGGCAGTTCTTGAGTGCTGAGAACTGGAAGCCAGGACACCCGCAGGCAGACGCACTGTGAGTAGCTTACCATATATGCATTAAATTCACCAAGGATCACAGTAGCATTCTCAGGAAGCCTGCATGCTGAGTCCATGCATGGCTTCAGGGACCGACCTGACTGGGGGCTTTGAGAGAAAGAAAAAAAAAGACAGACAGACAGATGCACATAGAAGTGCTGGGCTCGGTGGACTAGGACTCTCAGATAGAGAAACGGCAGCAGCCGAAGCACCAGGGAAGCTCAGTGTGCTTATTATATAGAGTTAATAAAGAGGAGGAGCTATTGCATACAGCTGAACAAGGAGGCGGGATTATTATGCACAGATAAACAAGGAGGGTAGGGTTTCCGGTATAGAGCTGGATCAAGGAGATAGGTTTAGCCAAAGTCAGTAGGAGCAGGCTATGTAGGGGAGAAATTCAGGCCGGAAATAACCAGGGAAGAAAGCTATGGTGGACATTTTCTGCAGATACTATCAACACATGGACCAGAGGAAAGCTGTGTTATTTCTTCATGGGTCCGAGGCCTTGGAGTCCTTGGTATGGCTGTGATCATGTCAGCAACACACATTCACCCAGGATCTCACACATCTAGGACTTCCTCAGTTCCTCACCTTTGCTTATGTCTAATTTTTAAAAACTGATTGTTAAATAGCAACATGAAGACATCTCTCTTCTTCTTGCTAAGAACAACCCAGAGTTAGCTCTGGGCATCCATGGTCTCAGTTCCACTACCACAAATAATGGTTACTTTAAGTCTTAGCCCTGCTACTTCTTAGGTGTCAGCCTCAATGGTACCTCTGAAACACGGGAAGAAAACGTGTCTGCCACACAAGGTCATTGAAAACATGAAAAGCAATCATTCATTTAAAGCTTCAAGTATTGTCTATCATTTTTGCTCCATTTCTCTTTTCACATGTCCAAAGTTAAATAAGTTAGCAAAGAGCCAGGTGACATGTCAGACAGAGTCTGGGGGAAGCTTGGGCATTGACAAGTTGTGCCAACTGAAGCTTATACCGAGTATCTAAGGGCCACTCAGCCTTACATGAGCCAAGGTTACTGAACAAAAAGGGCCTCTGAACATAACTGAATGAGAAAGTAAAAATATTTGGGCTGGAAATGTCACTCAATGCTAGAAAGAGTATGTATAAGACCCTGGGTTTGATCCCAACACTGAAAAAAAGTCAAAATATTAATATTCCCAATATCTGAATGTGCAAGGGCAATAAATGTTTGTGAAATCATCAGTAGCTTAGGATACTAAAGATGTAATAGCCCCATAACAGTATTTACTGGGCTTATAATATCACTTTAGCATTATTTTCTGATTATAACTGGAAGTTTTCTAGCTTACATAAATGAAGAGGTCTAAGCTGGAATAAAGGAGTTTTTAATTTTATCACAAGCGAGGTAAATTAAAATTATGTTTTATCAGGAAAAAAAGTGCAATGCAGAAGAGAGGCAAGGACTTGAACTCTTGGACTTTAATGCAAGAAGTGAGTGTGCACAGTAGTAATTGAAGTTGGTGACATACACATTTAGCAAAAACTGCAAATACTTCCATAAAGTAGGAAAGATTTCCCATGACGGGATTTCTGCTTAAAGTTATGTTTCTTCATCTCTTAATCCAAGAAGCAACTAGCGATCATCTTCTCTGTGCCAACCACAGAATTGCAGAACCAGAGGCAACTGTAGTATTATAAAATACTACTATTCTAGCTGGGTAGTGGTGGCATATGCCTTTATTCCCAGCACTCGGGAGGCAGAGCCAGGCAGATCTATATGAGTTTGAGGCTAGCCTGGGCTACAGAGTGTGTTCCAGGAAAGGCACAAAGCTACACAGAGAAGCCCTGTCTCAAAAACAAAAACAAAAACAAAACCCAAAAAAACACACACACACCCAAAAAAAACCCTACCATTCTGCTCCTATGTACTGAGTCCCCAAGTCTGTATGTGTATGAACCACAGCAAGTCTTTATGTTTAAGAACCATGAGTAGTCCATTAGAAGTGTATACTCTGTGTATTTACCATCGAAATTCTAATACATGAGAATGGGGGAATAACTTGTATTTTCATGAAGCATTCCAGATGATCCAAGTGCAGGTGGAATATGAATCACACTGAAATGTATGGTTTTCTTTTTTTCTTTCTTTCTTTTTAAAGATTTATTTATTTATCTATTTATGTATGTATGTATATATGTATGTATGTATGTATACAGTATTCTGTCTGCCTGTATGCAGGCCAGAAGAGGGCACCAGCTCTCACTACAGATGGTTGTGAGCTACCATGTGGTTGTTGGGAATTGAACTCAGGACCTCTGGAAGAGCAGCCAGAGCTCTTAACCACTGAGCCATCTCTCCAGCCCCAAAATGTGTGATTGCTATAGCTAGAATCTATAAGCTCCTTGGAAAGATGAAATGCATGAGGTTTCACACACACATACACACACACACAGAGAGAGAGAGAGAGAGAGAGAGAGAGAGAGAGAGAGAGAGAGAGAGAGAGAGAGAGAGAAACACCTCAACAACACACTGTCCTCAAGGATAGTGTGACGTACTACGTTGCTTTACATTAGGAAAGGTAAGAGGACATAAGGAGGAACTTCCAGACTAGCCATCTGTGAAGCACATGGTGAGCAGAAGCCTGCAGACTTGCTAAGGACACTGTCACATCTGGAAGAAAGAGTTAGGGAGGAGAGGAGACAGCACTTAATGCAATGCCTTGAATCTGGTAGAGCTGAGCTCTGATTCACAGGAACTGAGGGAAGCAACTGGTTTGATGTTCTAGAGCCTCCATGTGGAATGTTCCAGAGAAGAGATTCAGGACATGAAGCTGTTGCCACAGTTTAGATCAAGGCAGGGTGGCCTCCAACACATGAGAAAATAAGAAAGAAAGGGATGTCCATGGAGCAGAACTGCAGGGTGAGAACTTGGTTAACGGGAGGTCAGTCACGATTTTTCCAGACTGGGAAAAGTCACAGGTTAGTGTTGATGCCAGGACCTTCAGTGGTGACAGGATGAGGATGTAGAGTGACAGATGGGATAAAGGATGCTGTGGCAGAGTGTGCTTGTTTGGATTGCAAACAAACCTGGCTTTTTCTAGAAGCTGTGATCAGAGGTAAGTAGGGCCACAGTCGGGGCCAAGCAGTGTTTGTGAATGAACTGGAAGCCCAACCAGAACCAAGAGCTAAAAAAGTGCTAGAACAAAATCCTGATTTGATGTTGACTGTCCTGTGCAAACGCTCTTTGCATGCTTCCTGTTGAGGGAGAGGCCCCTTGGAGGGGGACTTGCAAGAAGCAAGGGGAAGCAATGCAGAGAAGAAATGGAATGTTGAGCGCCAGCCTCGGAGCAGCCACCTTCAGACAGCCAGGAGAGAAACAGCCCAGCAAAGGGAACTGCGCTTCTGTGGTTGGAGGAAAGGCCTCTGGTGTGGTAATGGCCTTTTTGCCTGCTTGGTAAATGCCTTAGAGCAGGGATAACGAGAAGGGTGAACGACGCGACTTCTTTGCACCACTGACCAGTTGCTTCAGAAGCACTGAGAACATGGACTCCCAGTGAAACATCTTCTGGAAGGCAGAGGTCAGCATTATGCATCATTTCCTCATCTGCAAATTAGGACTAAAATAACTCACAGATATCACGAGCAAACCACTTCGCTTCCTGCCTGGCCCACTTAGCGCTCAGGGCCTAGGGTTTTCTTGGGCAAAGCAGTCACTCCTTTCCATGCTTTGGATTTTTCTGACACTTTGTCAGGATTCCAGTTACTGTCGACTTAATTTGGAAATATTCTCCCACATCACATTATGTCCTTTGAATCTGGACCCACTCTTGCTGGGCACAGTGTGCTCGCTCCAGGCCTGGGAGCGCTTAGTAACTGATCTGGCTCTTTCCACTTGCTGAGTCTAGGACTCAGTGATTTGTAGCAGTTACAAGCATTCCTCACTAACACCTTCGGAAGTTAGCACGACTATTGCCTTCATTTTACACACAAGGAAACTGAGACGGAGAAAACTTTAACAGCTGAGGCCACCTTACTAACTGCTTTGTTCTTGCATCAAAAGGCTTTCCAGGGGTGGAGTGTGCAATCCTGACACGGAGGAGGCAGAAGCAGGTAGTTGAGGCAAGTCTGGACGACTCAGCAAGTTACAGGCCATCTAGGGCTGTATCGTGTACCCAACAAGTCCCTGATTCCCCCCCATACATACACTCTCCCAAAGAACCCAGTCTTTTTAGCCAGGTCTTCTCTAATTCCTATTTCCTCATTCTACGCCTTCTACTTGACTCCCTGCTTAGGACACCATAGCCATCCATCACACTTGAATTTTATGACAGCTTCAGGCAAGTGAGAAAAGGTAAACCTGGACCTTTAAAGTCCCCACCTTTAAGAGTGTTTGGCTGGCCCATGGCCACTCCGAAGTAGAGGCACTTCCATGTCGTTGTTCTTGAAGCTGTGGTGACTGTGGGATCAGAATCTTTGAGTGTGAGAAATTTTACAGATAGCCACAATGGCTGAAAATGGACATAATGAAAAAAAAAAGGGCTGCTCTGGAGGCCAATATCTGTCATCAAATTGGGCATTATTTTGGAGACTTCAATTTGCCACAAGACAAGTTTTTAAAGGAACAGATCAAATTGGATGAAGGCTGGGTATCTTTGGACATAATGATAAAATTCAACAGGCTAAGCCAGCTGACAGCAGATGTCAACGTAATTGCACAGGCACTGAGCAAAACTAAGGCAAAACTCATGGAAGTGAGTGCAGACAAAAGTAAAATCAGAAGATCTCCAAGAAGACCCCCTCCTAAAGTAACAGAGGAGCACAAGAATGATGTGAAAACCAGATCTGTTTATATTAAAGGCTTCCCAACTGATGCAACTGTTGATAATAAAGGTCAAATACTGAATATTCAGATGTGAAGAACATTGCCCAAAACATTGAAGGGGTTAATATTTGCTGTGTTTAATAGTATTCAGTCTGCAAAGAAGTTTGTGGAGACCCTTGGCCAGAAGTACAAAGACAGAAGCCTGCTAACACTCTTTAAGAAAGATTACTGTGCAAACAAAACAAAACAAAACACACACACACACACACAAAAGCAAAACAAGAACATGAAGGGAGACACGGGTCAGGAAGTACCCAAACAAGACCTCTAGAAGGAAGGGTGGGATGCTTACTTAAGTTTTTGGGTGACTTGGAAGACCAGGCCTGTAGAGAAGATTTACACATCCTTTTCTCAAATCACAGTGAAATAAAATGGATTGACTTGGTCAGAGGAGCAAGAGAGGGAATAATTTTCTTTAAAGGAAAAGCTAAGGAAGCACTTGAGAAAGCTGGAAGCGCAAGTAAGGGTTAACCTACAGTCAAGGCACAAAAAGGTGACTTGGAAAGTGCTAGAAGGACATATGGAAAAAGAAGCAATGAAAAAAAAACCTTGGAGGATGAGCAGGAATCCCTAAACAAATGGAAGTCAACAGGAGGCCGCAGCTTTAAAGGAAGGGAAACAGAGTTGCCTGTGCTGGGACACCCAAAGGAAGAGGACAGCTTCAGGAGAGGATAAGAGTCGGTGATGGTGATGATTGACGTGGTTCAGGACCAATGAAAAGAGCCGGAGACGGAAGAGACAGAGAAGAACCTGCATCAAAACACAGAATAAGACAGAATGGTGCTAGAGGCAAGTAGGTTAGTAAGCCACATTTTTATTCATCTTAGTTAGATTTTAAGCTGCTTTTTGTCTTCGGAAACTTTCTAAAAAGAAAAGCGAATTAGGCCCACTTCAATGTCCACCTGTATAAAAGGAAAAAAAAATTGTTTTGCTTCTTTTTGTTGTTATCCAAATAATAGTTTTTTAAAATGTATAGTTCTGTTTGTGTTTGGATGATTCAAATGTGAAAAGGGAGGTTTTACCTCTTAATTGCTCTTTGTAATATGAGAATGTATTAGTTCAAACTTGTAAAATATATGCTGTATTTTAAAAAAAGTCAAAAAATTGTTACATGTGTGCATATGTGGGTGGGTGAGTGGGGTCGTGTTCTGTGCCACAGGACACGTGTAGAGGGCAGAGGACAGCCCCATGGAGTCGGTCCTCTCTTTCCCCTTTGCAAGAAAGAGTTCCAGGGATTCAGTCACTAGGTTTGTAAGGCAAGCACCCAGGGAACCATCTTGCCCCGCTTTAAGTTATATTTTGGATTAACAGAGTGTTAACAAACATCTTCTATTCTCTTAAATTCACAGAACAAATGGGCGGTGTGAGATAGGTTCGAGGAGAGAGCTAAGGCAGGTCGGCTGGCCCTGTGGTCAGCGCTTTTCTCACGAGGATGCCTAAAGTTCTCCGAGTTCAGCCCTCTGGAAGGAAGATGTGCTCTGCAGGTGTTTGCGAGTGCTGATTAGAGCTGGGAAGGACTTGATTCTTTGAAGGAGAGCATCCACTCATGCAAATTAACTGCCCAGCCCTCTCCTCCTTCCTTCAACCGAGAACCTCCCTTTGATCTTAATTGTACAAGAAATGATTACAACTAGAACATTACACTGCAAAAATAGCATTTGTTAGTGAAACAAATTTCATAAAGCCAAGACTCATCTAAGTAACACTCAATAGCTGTGGGTAGTCTAATTCCTTCTGTACAGAATGTAACTTTTGGCATCTATTCAGGATGGTTTTTTTTTTTTTTTTGTAACAGGGTCTCTAGTAGCCCAGCCTGGCCTTGAACTTGTAATATAGCTGGGGATGACGGTGAACAGATTTCCTTGTCCTGCATTTATAGTCATGTGCCAGAATGACTGTCTCTTAAACCTGTCTTATTTAATAGAAATGTGAGTTGAGGAGAGAGCCCAAAGATCCCTTCATAACCAAATTCTCTCTGGTTAATGTGTCCCTCTAGCTGGGGCACATATAACTGAACACCTTGCCAAATTAAACCAAAAGCCAATGTGTGGGAGCCCATTCTCGGTTCCTCGTGGCTTTTACCCAGCAGGTCCGTATAGAGGATGATTGGGACCACAGGCCCAAGTGCAGGTGTCTGAGATGGTCTGCACTTGGCTGTGCTGGGGGAAGAGGTCTTTTGCTCCACCCCTTGGTGTCTCTATAAAAACCCTAGGGCAGAGACAGTCGGGCCTGTTGGAATAGGTTCCAGGCCCTCTCGAGGCTATCCTTTATTTTCTATCTGTTTATATCTGCGATATTCTCAGCAATAAATCCTTCTATCTAATATTTCCTGCTACTCACACTCAAAAAAACTCTGGGGAGCTGTGGGGTTGGTGGGTAAACGCCCCACACCAATGTGGCTTTATTTCTCTTCAAAAGCTAAAGCATAGAAGATGCAAATATTAATTAACGTGCACATGATTATTAAAATTAATATAAAATCAATATAGATAATAATTTTAAGACCTTAAAATTTTATATAATTCTATCTTAAGAGGAACAGTTCTCTTGATTGAAATAACAGCTAATTTAGCTTTTAAAGCACTGTAGATACTATAATTGTTCAATGGCTTTTAAATAACTTGGCATTGCTCCTTAAGTCAAAGCATTATTACTTAATTGCAGATGAGTCATTTCCCCAATCCCATGCAATTAATCACCATTTCCTAAACTTGCCTGAAATAGGAACTACTTAAGATTTTGTTATACATACAGCTTTCTGGGGCTCACCCTGGATCTCTTAAGTCAACATTTCTGAGGAAAGCACCTGAGAGTGTGTGTTCGGCAGCATCCCAGGTAGATACCATCATCAGTTAGGTTGGAAAATAATACTTTGGTGCCAGTGAGAGGGCTCAGTGGATAAAGATGCCTTCAACCAAGCCTGATGACTTGAGTTCCATCACTGGGACTCACATGGACTCCCAAGGACCACATGGACCCACAGGGACCGATTTCTGCATGTTATCCTCTAACCTCGTGTGTGTGTGTGTGTGTGTGTGTGTGTGTGTGTGTGTGTGTCCATGTGCATAAGAGAGAGAGAAATAAATAAACAAATGGGTACTTAAATAAATGTGATAGAGTGAAAGAAAAGACTCATGGATTACTTTGGCATGGCATTGATTCTTGATTATTATCATACAAGTGAGCAGTGTGTAGAATCATCATTGAAAGAAGTAACTAGAGGAAGCACTCATGAGCTGTAAACTAATACATGCTCTATTTCTCGTTGATCCATCTCCTGTAATATAAACCAGATCCCATAGTCAACCTTCACCTGGTCATGTACTATGAGACATTTAACCTATTTGGTAATAAGCCCAAGATTCAGTTCATTGCCAGCACACTGAAGCATCATTTCCTGAACAGCTCAGGTCCATGAGCCTAAAGCAGATGTGAACGAACTTCTTTACCCTTAGTAATTATCCGGCGGGGCAAGTGTTTGTTTCAATTTTCTAGGTGCAGAAACTGAAGCTTAAAGAGGTCAATAGATTTTTATTTCCCCAAGATCCACTCAGCTGACCACTCCGTGCTCAGACCCACAAGGTGTGCGTTCTTCCCTTTGACGGCAGAGTAGAAATTACAAGTCAAGGAATTTTTATTCTCTAGTCAGAAGAATCTTGGGCTTGTTCTCTTCACTCAGAGTTGTCTGCCAATCCACTCCCAAACACACAAAAAGCCTGTTTCTTCGATGCTGTGCACAAGGACAGGAGGCTTGGTGGATCTGTCCAACTCTGGTAGAATATCAAGCCTCTTTCCCTTGTGTTCAGAAAGAGCCCAACAGTTCTACCGTAAAAACTTAAAAGGACTCTCTCAAAGGACAAATGAGAAAGGAAGATAGATGTGAGTGCAGGAAAGTAATACGCATCATAATTATCTGTGAAACCTCATTAGCCTGAAACTGGTCCTCTATCTTGTTAGTCCTGTGTGGTTTCTTCTAGTTGAAGTACTCGCAGCCAGAAACACAAAAGTCCCCTTGAGTGCCCTTGTTCTAAGAACTCTCTCTCTCTTTTAAAGAATTTGTTTTTCTTAGACTTGGAAACTGTTGAGGGGTGCCAGATGGATAGCCTTGAGACCGTGTTGTTTATCTGCACAGGAGGCCAGGTGTGGATGGGGATGCAGGCTTCTCACGGCCCCGATAAGAGATGTCTGAAGTAATGGCAGACACTACAGTGTGCTGCCCACTCCTTCATTGCAGGCATTGCTGGTAGTAAAGCTGCTTGTATGGCCTCCCATGCACTCATGAGTCAGCTGGAGGGTTTTTGTGGAGGGGCTATCGTTGTGCTGGGATTGAACCCAAGACGTTTTAAAACCAGATAAGCGCTCTACCACAGAACTGCATACCAGGCTCCCATGCAATCATTTGAAACTAGCTAATTAATGCTCTGGCAAGATGGCTCAAATGGTAAAGGGACCTGCCACCAAGTCTGATAACCTGAGTTTGATTCCTGGGATCCACGTGGTGGAAGGGGAAAAAATGGGATTCCCTAAGTTTTCCAGTGACTTCCACATGAATTCTTAGGTGCACATGCATACCCCGAAATAGAATAAATAGCAGGGGTGGGGGTGAGGAGAAAAGTAAAGAAATAACAGGGCTAGCCAGGTGTCTTAGAGGGGGAAATTGCCTGCGGAGCAAGTGTGACTACCTGAGTTGAACTGCCTACCCCACAGTGGATGGGGAGAACTGACTTCCATACGTATACTGTGACACACACACTTGAGATAATAGTTTATTAAGGAGGATTTTGAATGTCACATGTCATAGCCCAGACCTATAATCCCAGTACGCAGGAGACAGAAGCATGAGAATCCCCAAAAGTTTGAGGCCAACTTGATCTGCATAGGGAAGTCAAGGCCAGCTGGGGCTACGTAGGGAGACCCTGTAAAAAAATGACTGGAGGCTTTTAGAGAAGGCAGTCAGTCCATCCCAGTAATGTAGCATGAAGATAGGAATCAACACCCACCTGTAACCCTAGTATTTGGTAGGCAGAGGGAGGAGGATTGCCACAGATTCAGGGGAACCTGGTCCATCCATATAGCAATTTCTAGGCTAGTTAGGTATATGAAGTGAGCCATGTCTCAAACAACAATAATAACAAAAAATAAAACAAATAAGTTAAATTAAGCTGCAGTGTGATTACTATTCAATTAAAACAAAATGGACATGGTGGACACTTCTTCAATCTCAGCATCACTCAGAAGCCAGAGGCAGGTAGACCTCTATGAGTTCGAGACCAGCTTTGTTCACACAGTGGGTTCCAGGCCAACGAGAGCTACCTAATGAGACCTTGTATCAAAAAAAAAATTTTAAATAAATTTGGGAGATGCATTTGTGTGATATGGCATGTTCTGTGGGGCTTAAGCAAGCTGATATTTCAGAAGTAGAGTTTTTGCTGGAGATTGAACTTAGGGCCTTGTGCATGCTAAGCAATTGTTCGATGAGCTACACCTTCAGACCTGGTTGAGACTTTTAGATTTTTCAATAGTTAATAATTCTCTGGAACAATGTCAGAGGCCAGAGTCTACACACCATTTTTACAATTATAAAAGTGGTTTAAAAGTATAATTAAAATTCATAGTAACCATGAAAACAAACAAAAAGAGTAGAAAATAAATATCTATCAATATGTTCCTCTTCCAAAATCTGTGATTTTAGGAAAAATAATGATAGGAAGAAAAATGTAAACCAGGTATGAGAGAATAAAGCAGATAAGAGAGAGAACAGGGGCAGTATACCTATAAACTCAGCACTTGGGAGGCA